AATAATCATAGTCGCAGTCTGGGTAAAAAGCATCGCAGTAATGATAGTGGTAGCAGTAGCAGTAGCAGTACTGGTAGTAGTTGTAGTAGTAGTAGTAGTAGTAGTAGTCGTAGTAGTAGTAGTAGTAGTAGTAGTACTACTACTACTACTACTAGTAGTAGCAGTAGTAGTAGTAGCAGCAGCAGTCGTAGCAAAAACAGTATCAATAAGAATCGTATTCTTGGTATGGTACTCTCGGCCGGTAATTTCCCATCTGGCGCCGCAGCCTGGTCCTCCAGTGGATTCTCGAGCAGGGGGTCTACACTGGGCTTCAGTATGGTGCCTCCGTCCCCAGTAGGTGCTCCCCAGGTCTGATGCTTCAATCTACTGCCCCAGCGTGGTGCACCAGTCTAGGTCACTACTCTGGTGGATTTTCGGATGGCGCCCTTATTGTAGCGCCAGCAGCACCGATAACAAGTAGCAAGAGAGGTGGTAGTCGTAGGGTGGTAACCAGGTGATACTGAAATGAGCAGTAGTCGTAGTCATAGTCGCAGTAGCAGCAGTAGCGCGAGTCAAATGCGAAGGCGAGGATATGGAACAGGAAGGGGGGGTGAGTAAGGAGAATCTGACGGCATTATGTATGTTCTCGCGTTGTGCCTACGATGCCGGGGCAGAGGTAATTCAACTGCTCCCTGAACCTCTCCTGCTCTGACCCACGTCTTCCGGCAATGCCCCAGCGAGACCGAACTGCAATATCCGCTACCAGGCCTGTCTGCACGGAGTGGGCGTGTTAGGGTGCTTCTCTGCTTTCTAGGGCCGACCCCGCCCCTGCGTCGCGCGCATCGTTCGAAAAGTGTTCGGCGGTGTTTTCGGCTTCCAGAACGCTCCAGGACCGCCCAAAACCACCCAAAACAGCTAAGCCTAAGATGGCCCAAAAGGCCCCCAATCCGGTCCCAAGACTGCCCGAGAAGGCCCCAGGACGGTGCATGAGGGCCCCAGTACGGCGTAACATGATCTCAAGACGGCCCAAGAGGCCTGCAAGACGCCCAAGAGGGCTCCAAGAGGGAGCCCAAGAGGCTCTCGTCAGGCGAAGCACATTGATTTCCCTTCGGTTGGTTCCACGCGTGTTTATATGCTGGCCTGTTCGGCCTTATGAAAGCGCAAGACTACCCAAAGGTTCCCAACAAGTCTCCAAGATAGCCCAAGAGGGCCTCAAGAGACCCCAAATACAGCCCAGGAGGGCTCCAAGACGGACTGATGGGGTCCTAAGGCGGCCCAAGAGGGCCCCCCCTGACTGTTCAAGATGCCCCCAAGACGGCACAGTAGTGTAGGTCCCGAAGAATGCCCCAGCATGCGGCTCAGTATGGGGGGTAACCGAGCTGGCCTCGAGAGCCTTTCCCTCCAACGTCGCCTCGAAGACTCCAAGTATTGACCCGAGACGGGGAGCCCGACCCATGGATAGCACACGCAGGGCACCCTTCGAACGTCTTTAGAAACACCGTACCGCTCACACCTGTCCTTATGCTCCTCTTTCCTCATCATCGTCCACCTTATCCCCCCGCTTTCATCATCCTCCCTGGTCTCTCCATCCAACTTCCTCCATCTCCGTCCGCCTCAAGTCGCCGTTCTCCCCGCCTATGCTTCCTCCTCCTCCTCCGCCGTCTCCTTCTCGTACTGCTGGTGCTCCTCTTCTCGCTCCTTACTCCTTTTCGTCCTTCTCGTCCTCCATGTCCTCCTCCCCCTCCCGCCTCATCGTCCCGCTCATTTTCCCTCGTCCCTCCCTTCCATTCTGCTGCCCTTCCCTCCTCCCCAGACCCTTCCGTCCCTCATCCTTCGTCTCTCCTTTGCCTCCTTCCTGTATCCTTCCTCCTCGTCGCTCCTACTCCCCCTCCTCCTTCACACCGCTGCGGCAGTGATAAGTCTTCTATACGAAGGGTGATGGAGGAGGAGGAGGAAAAGCAGGATGACGATGATGAAGAGGGAGGGGAAAAGGAGGAGGAAGAGAATCAAGGAGAGAGCATCTTCTTTGTACACTTACCACGCTGGAGCACAATTCCGATCACCCTCTCTCTGGATCCCTCCTCGAAAATCAGCCTTCTCTCTGGATGCACCCCTTGTCCCTGGCGAGAACACCCCCTCCCTCCGTACCTACGCCAGCTCTTCCGAAAATCGGGGGGCGGGGGGGGGTCGGACCCCGACCCCCCCTCCTAGTCGTTGTCGTCGTCATTGTCGTTGTCGTTGTCGTGGTCGTGGTCGTCGTCGCTCGTCGCGACGTTCTGACGGGCGTCGTCGCAGTCGTCGTCGCAATCGCCAACGCAGTCGCAGTCGCCATCGCCGTCATCGCCGTCGCCGTCGTCGTCGTTTGCCAGCGAGTCGGTCAGTCGGGCGGGCGGGCGCGACACGTCGTCGTCGTCGTTGTCGTCGTTTGCAAGCGGTTCCGTCGGTCGTGCGTGACACGTCGTCGTTGTCGTCGTCGTCGTCGTCGTCGCTCGTCGCGACGGGCGTCGTCGTCGTCGTCGTCGCCGTCGCCATCGCCGTCGCAATCGTCGTCGCCATCGCCGCCATCGCAGTCATCGTCGACAGCGCCGTCGCCCAGGGCGGAGGGAGGGTCCGAACTCCCCTCACCCCCGACTTCATGGGGGGCGGGGTTCGGACTCCCCCCACCCCGAAATTTGACAGGGGGGTGCTCGTTCGGACGCCACCGTCGTTGTCGCCGAGACCACCAAAAATCGTGACCCAGGGCCCCCCACCCCATCGTCGCCGCCGCCGCCGTCGTCGTCGTCGTCGTCGTCGTCGTCGTCGACCTCGTCGCCGCCGGCGCCGCCGCCGCCGTCGTCGTCGTCGTCGTCGTCGTCGTCGTCGCACTTGTCGTGTTCGTCGTCGTCGTTGTCATTTGACAGCGAATCGGTCAGGCGGGCGGGCGGGACACGTCGGTGTTGTCGTCGTCGCCGTCGCTGGTCGTCGTCGTCGTGGTGGTGGTGGTAGTGGTGGTAGTGGTGGTGGTGGTAGTGGTGGTGGTGGTAGTCGTCGTCGTCATGGTCGGTCGTGGTCATGGTCATGGTCATGGTCGTGGTCGTGGTCGTGGTCGTGGTCGTGGTCGTCGTCGTGGTCGTCGTCGTCGTCGTGGTCGTCGTCTTCGTCGTCGTCTTCGTCGTCGTCGCCGTCGCCGTCGCAATCGCCGTCGTCACCATCGCCGGCGTCGCCATTGTCGTCGTCGTCCGTTTGTCGGGCGGATGGACTGCGGGGCAGGACGTCGATGTTGTCGTGGGCGCGTGGGTCGGGCGAGCGGGCGCGACAGATCGTCGTGGTCGTTGTCGTCGTCGTCGCTGTCGTCGTCGCCGCCGCCGCCGCCGTCTTCGTCGTCGTCGTCGTCGTTGCCGTCGCCGTCGCCATCGCTGGCGACCAGGGCGGAGGGAGGGTCCGAACTCCGCTCACCCCCGAGTTCAAGGGGGGCGGGGCTCGAACTCCCCCCAGCCCGAATTTTGACGAGGGGGGATGCTCGTTCGGACCCGCCCTGATTCAATTTCAGCGTTGTCAGAAGACGCTCTTTCAAATTCGCCGGCCCAACGGGCCAGAGGCGTGCTAAGATCTCCCGTAACTACTTAACAATGTTTCTAGTTCGCGCGCGCGGGGCGGCCCCTGGGGGCCCCCGGACGAAAAGACCCCAGCCGATCCCCGGCCGGGTCCCGGGCGATCCCCAGGGGGGAGGCTATTTTTCGCCACCCCTCACGAGGATCGTGGCCTCCGAGGGGGTGGCTGCACTCGACTACCCCCCCTCCCGCCCGAAGGGGCCCCCAAGAGCCCTCTAAGAGGCCCCAGGGGTGCCCCAGACGCCGCCAAGGAGCCCCAAGACGCTCCCTAGAAGCCCCCAAGAGGCCAAGACGGCCCCAAGAGGCCCCAAATAGCGCTCCAGGGCCGGCGGTATGAGCGAAGCGATTAAATAAGAAAACAAAATGAGAGGATAAAACAGAAGAGGAAGGAGGGACGGACGAAGAAAAGAAGCATAAATACACGAAGGAGGAAGACCAGGCAAATCATGGACGAGGAAAGGGATAGGATGAGGAACGGGGAAGGGTGTGGGAGGAGGAGGTGGAGGAAGAGAAGGGGGAGGAGGACGAGGAGGAAAGGGGGGAGAAGGTGGAGGAGGAGGAGCAGGAGGACAAGGAGGAGGAGAAGGTGGAGGAGGAAGATGATGGAGGCGAGGAGAGAGATGAAGATGCGGAATACCCGAACGCTGAGCTCTCGGCCGCCGCTTGCCCCGTTAGGCATCACGACGTTCTTAGCCTGGAGCTGGCCCTTGTTGGAGACCTCGGCGTCGCTGGGGCGGCTGGCATGGGGGCGGTCTTGCGCTGGAGTAAGGAATGAAGAAGAATGGGGGAGGACGGAGGAGAGGAGAGGGAGGGAATAAGGGAGGGGGGATGGACTCTTGGATTTCGCATCTGGTGCAACCGCTGGCTGGTCAGGTCAAACGTCCGCACTCAACTCGCCAAATGAAGAAGGGGTTGCTCCCCAAATAGTGATTCGGCACGGGCGCCAAGCAGTGCTGACAGTCGCTGCTGCCCTCCGGCAAGGAAGAGGGCAGCATATACGCAACGCGACAGCTGGCTGGGAAGGAAGGGGGGGAAGGAGGGAGGGAGGACGGAGAATGACGAGCCCCTGGCGCCTCCTCCTTTCCCGTCGTCTTCCCTCCTACCTACTTCCTCCTCGCTTCTCCCCTGAGGGGAACGAAGGATGACCCGAACAATGTGCAGCAGTAATTACCAGGACGACGACACGAGGCCGAACGCCCAGTCCAGCCAGAAACCGTGCAGACGACAGAACCTGGGCCCCCACACAGCACCCCCTGCGAACGCAAGGGCCCGACCGAGGGCCTGGCATCCTCCGGGGCCGTGCCATGAAGTGGGCAGCGTGGGCTTCGCGAGCCTGCAGACGAGCCCGAAGGGCGTCCATCCCAAGGGACCGAGGGAGAAGGGAGATGGGTGCGGCCCTGGAGAGGGCAAGGCGGCAAGCCGCCTCAGACGTCGGAGCCGGCGTCGAGATCAGTGGAGGGCCGGGCAACCTCGCGCCCGAGCTCCCGCGCCATCTCCGCGTCGTCCTCCCGGAGCCCGTGGCTCTTCAGCAGGCGGAGCCGCGCTGCACGCCCCTCGAGCGAGGACACGGAGGAGGAAGGCTGGAGGGAAGGAGGTGGAGGAGGGGGAGGAGGAAAATGGGAGGGGAGAACTTCTGAGGCGTGCTGCCGCAGAAGCTCCGAAAGGCCTTGGGGGGGGCGTCGGAGAGGCCACTGCCCGGCAAAGGGGAGGTCTCTGGCGGCCGCTCGGGGCGAGGCGCAGCTGCCTGGGAACAGGTCCCGAGGCGAGAAAGCCTCCGATCACCAACGAACGCCTCCGCGAACCGATGAGAATGCCTCGCTACCGCCGCCGCCGCCGCTGCCGCCACCGCCCTCGCGTCGTCGTCGTCGTCGTCGTCGTCGTCGTCGTCGTCGTCGTCGTCGTCGTCGCGTCGTCGTCGTCGCCGTCGTCGCCGTCGTCGCCCTCGTCGTCGTCGTCGCCGTCGCCGCCGTCGTCGTCGTCGTCGTCGTCGTCGCCGTCGTGCCCACAGCCGCCGTCGTCGTCGTCGTCGTCGTCGTCGTCGTCGTCGCCGCCGTCGTCGTCGTCGTCGTGGTCGTCGCGTCGCCGTCGCCGTCGTCGCCGTCGCCGTCGTGCCCACAGCCGTGCGCGCAGCACGGGGCGCGGCGGAGGCCGGGCGCCAGGGCCGAGCGGCTCAGCGCGAGTCCGCAGCGCGGGCGGAGGAGGGAGGGAGGGAGGTGGGCAGGAGAGGGACGGGAGGGGAGGGGGGGGGGAGGAGGAGGAGCGGGCGGGGGAGAGGGAGGGAGGAGGGGGAGGGAGGGGAGGGGGAGGGAGGGAGGGAGGGAGGGAGGAGAGGGGAGGAGGAGCGGGGGGAGGGAGAGGGAGGGAGGGAGGGGGGGGGAGGGAGAGGGAGGGAGGGAGGGAGGAGGGGGGGCGAGTGACCGCGGGGTCACCGACGAGTGCCTCGTGCCTCCGCCAGGGGCCGAGAGCCGACGGGAGCAAGACGTTGGAGGAGGGGGAGGAGGAGAACGAGTGAGCACGCTGGAGGATCCAGCACCTCCCTCATCCTCCTCCTCCTCCTCCTCCTCCTCCTCCTCCTCGTCCTCCTCCTTCCTCCTCCAGGTCCTCTCTCCTCCTCCTCCTCCTCCTCCTCCTCCTTCTCCTCGCTCCTCCTCCTCCCTCCCCTCCTCCTCTAACCCTTCCCTTTCTTCTCTTTTTCCTCCCTCCCCGTCATCGTCGCCCAGTTCGTCCTTTCTCTCGTGCCCTCGCACTTCGTCCCTTTCCCTCGTCCCCCTCCCCTTCCTCCTTTGTCCTCCTCCTCCTCCTCCTTCTCCTCCTCCTCGGGGCTTCGGCCCCTCATGCCCTGACCCCCTCATGCTGGGGCATTCTCCCCTCATGCGTAGACCCCCTCATGCTGGGGCAGTGGCCCTTCATGCGTTGACCCCTCATGCGGTGGTTTAGCATGCCACCATTGTCAAGGCACGAAGCGGTAAAACATTACCCGTGCCTTAAACGACAGCCGTGACAATCCTCTTGGTTCTCATGCTCACTCGCCTTTCACTTTCCCCTCCTCGCCCTGCTTGTGCGCCATCCCCTTCCCTTCTGCATGATCCTGCTCGCCGTGCCACCAGAGGTGGCTGCACCGGTGCCAGGGCGGGCGGGCCGAGAACGTGCGGCCTTCGAGCCACGGCGGCCGGAGCCAAAGTGGCCACGGAGTCCGGCGCAGGGGAGGCGGAGGGGAAGGTGTCACCGAGGAGGCACAGCACCACACTGGAGGGGCCCAGGGACACAGAAATGGATAGACACAGATCCCAGGATGTTCCGTATGTTTGATCTTTTGGGAGAAATTCGTCCTCCCCTCCACTTCCAAGGTGTTCTTCTCATTCCGTATGAATCTGCGTTTTTTGTGTCTGTGTGTTTTCGTTTCCTCCTAATCCTCGTGCGCTCACTGGGCTTCCCACCTCAACAGTGAACTGGACGGCGTCGCCGACGTTGGGGGTTATGCCACCCAGCTCCTGCTTGTGCAGGAATATGTCTTTGCCGAAAACGTCGAGCACCTCGGCACAGGATCCGGCGACAGGAGGAAGACTTGGAGGAGGGGAAGATCGTCACAACCCGGTCGACGCATTCATGCTGCCCGTGCGATGATGTAACAACAGAAAGGGGGGCAAATGTCTGATGCTTCAGACAGCACACAGAGAGCGGCGCTTATGAAGTCCGATCGCGTTTCTAGACATCTGTGTTCACACATACCTGCATGCACGAATCTACAAGAACGTCTTCAATAACTCACGCTTCGCCACATCAATGCAAGAGACTTCATTCAGCTACGATGACTATTCGAATCTGCGGTGCACTTCTGGTTGCTGCCACGTCTTCCTACGCTGTCAGCCGCCACTGCTATCCTTGCTGTCAGACTTGTTGGCTCTCTTCCCTGCACATGCCACCCGTGATGCCGAAAGCTGCACCAACTTGTGGGCCATGTCGCATGCAGAGGGCATTATCTGGAGCTGGCTTCGCCCCACCCTCAGCAAACGCCAGTAAGAGCTTCGGAGTGCGATTTTGAAAGACATGTTGCGATGCGTGGATCCTGCCGCCCCCTGCTGGTTGACAGACTCACTTTCCCATCTGGTGCAATACTACCCCATCGACGCCACTGCCTGTTTGACTAGGCGCTGTCCCGCCCGTTGGCGAAACTCTGACGAGCACGAGCAAGGTGCATGGTGCAAAACACACACGCAAACTTGCTCGACTATGCCTTCGCATGTGCGCTTGCCTCGCATGTGCTGTGAACTATGGACAGAACCACATGTCGGAACACTTACCGTCACACCGCACCACTTTTTCCGTCGCGGCTCGGCAAAGCCGATCTTCTCGCGCGTTTGAGCAACCCGGGCTGCGGCGTTGCGAATTGCCCCGAGTGCGAAGAGGAAAAGGGGACGGCCGAAGAGACAGGAAGAGGGAGAGGGCGCACTCACGCGGCGGGGCCGCGGGGGGCGCGCGGGGCGGCCAGGCTGCGGGGTAGTCCCTGGCAGCGGCCGCGGGGCGGCTTCGCGAACGCACCCGGGGGGGGGGGAGCGGCAGCTTGACAAGGGCTAGTAACTTCTCAAGGGCGCCCTTGCATCCTTGCCCCTCGGCCCATCCTGACCCTTCGCCCTTACCCGTGGGCCGTGAGATTCCAGCTTGTGTTTCGGTCTGGGCGTCCAAGGGCCTTCTTGCATCCTTGCCGCGCATATTACGATCTGGTCGCGCTGCAGCGCTTGATGGCTCGAGGCATGTGCGCGGACAGGGAAGGGCAGGGGATGAGTGGAAAGAGAAACGGGGCCATGACATCTCGGAGATTCCATGGCCCTGACCATGATCCCCCCCACACATACACACACACAAACAAACACACACACACAAACGCACACACACACAAACGCACACACACACACACACACACACGCACGCACGCACGCACGCACGCACGCACACACACACACACACAACACAACACAACACAACACAACACAACACAACACAACACAACACAACACACACACACACACGCACACACACCCACCCTACGTAGTCCTCCCCGCTCCCCTCTCGGACGCCAAGGACCCCTCACCCGCCCGTCTTGCCCCTGTCTTTTCTTCACGACTCACGGCCTCACCTCTGCTCGAGTCCACTGTGACATGCAGCGCCGCCTGCGCCCACCGTGCTCAGTAGGCCAGCTTCGCGAAGCGCTTGTGGCGAGCCTCCTCCGAAGACTGGAGGGAAGGAGTGGAGGTGGCCGTCGAGACCTCCGAGGTCGCCCCCGTGGGCGTCCTCCTCGTCGCCGTCTTCATCTCCAGCCTTCCGTGGAGAAGCTCAGGGCTGCGCACCAGCATCCCCCAGGGGCAGTCGTGGCTGCCGTCGACAGGCACCCAGGGTGGCCCACGACGGTCTCAACATCCCAACCTCAGGGCGCAAGGGTGTTGACACCGTCCTAGGCTTAGGTCGGGCGTGTCCTCCTACAGGCGGGTTTTGGGTGAAAAAGAAGAAGTAATCAAAAACTGCCCCAAAATGATCAAAAATTGTCAACAAATCGTCCCCAGACTATTTTGGGACCATCTTTGCATATTCCTCCTGTAGAGGGACACGCCCGACTTCATCCTAGGCTACCCTGGGGGCCTGGCGAGGGAAGCTGGGACTACCTCCGGGGCTGCTCGTGGCAGGTCCCGAGCCTCGCCAGCCTGCGCTTCGTTGGCCTGCTCGAGTCCGGCGGCAGTATCTCGGCGGCCAGGAGGGATTCCAGCTGCCTCCGCTTGGGCTGGACACCGTCGTGAGCTAGGCTGCCGACCGTACCCCTCGGCGGCGAGAAGGTAAAGGCAAAGGGGGGCCAGAGACAAGGGGCCTTTACCTTGTGGTTCTTGGAAACAGCAAGGCCGTTTCTCTGCGGTTCCCAAAGATTTTGAGATTGAGAACGACAGCGGTGAAACAACGGATAGGGAGCCCACAAAAGACGTACGCGCCCAACCATGTACATGAACACGGCCCCTCGATCCGCGAGACCGTCCGCGTGATTCGAACATCCGCGCAATGCATACTCTCGAAACCAACGTGGATTTATGTACGTGTACGTCCTTCTGTCGCTCCTGAACGGTTCGCCGAAACGAAGGAAACGGCTCTGGGATTAAAACTGGAGCCGGAACCAGAAACAACTAACGGCGACGGAACCGACAAACAAACGGCGCTGGAACTGGGAAGGAAGAACGGCAAAGCGAAGATGGACACACGCACAAGAACCACTGAGGGCCAGCATCTTACCAGGAAGATGGAGCACGCGCGGCTGCACTCACGTTCGGAGCACGCGGAGGCCAAGCGCTCGGTACACATGCAGGAACCACCTTGCGCGCGCACGAGGGCCGATCGTTGCAGTGAGGCGCGTGGCACCACACGCGTGCCCAGCTCGCGCCCGGACTGGCCGCGCCATGTGCATCCGTGCAGCTTCCTTGCAGGATGGCCCGGGGGCTTCTAGGAGGAGGTGGCCTGCGTGGAATGGGGTGCTTCCTTGCACAGCCGACCTCCCGACTCTGGACCCCTTTTACCGGCCTCGAACATATCCTTATCCCTAAGATTGACATGCCAAAAAGCGATGACAATCTTAGGGATGCGCCCTCGAAAAATAAGGGAATCCCTAAGATTGGCATCGTGATGAGGAGATGCCCGGCATAGGGATAGGGATATGTTCCAGGCTGGTAACCCTTTCGCCCGTGGCTGACCTCACCCGCCGCAGCCAGTCGTCCCTCGTCTCCGAGCAGGTCTTCGCCGGACCCGCAGCCGCTGGACCCGAAGCCGCTGCCACGGCTGGGTCGGCGCTCGGGCCTGCTGGTGGCGGGTTGGCGAGATGAGGGCTGGCAATCACCTTCTGCTCGGGGGCGCGCAAGAGCGGGGCGTTCTCACGAGGGGGGTGCGCAAATCAGGGCCCGAGGCACGTGCGCGGCCCAGGTCTGGAAGGAAGGCGAAGAGGGGGCCACATAATCCAGGGAGATCTCGTGGCCCCCACCATGCTACCCACCCCCCTGGTCATCACCCCCTCTTGGCCGCCCCCGATCTTCATGTGAAGCCACTGGACCGTCTCGCCATCTCTGAAGGTCTGGACAAAGCCCAGCTTGCGGTACAGCGCCGCGGCCGAGGCGTTCTTCGCCACGACGGAGAGGTACAGGTGGCTCACGCTGAACCCCTTGTGCTCGGTCTCCACCAACTGCAGCATCCCCGCCTGAGACGCGGCTCCTCTCCCCCCCCCATGGCGAGGCCAGGACAGGAACACAAGGAAACATCGGGGATCTCTGAGATCCGGCGGTTCTGGAGGATGCATCGGGTGCCGCGGCCGTTCCAGAGCGCTTCGGAGCGCCCTGGGAGCGCTGCGGAACGCCCTGGAACGATCTATACTGGTCCTGACCCCGCCCGACCCCCAGCGCTCCAGCCCGATCCGCGGCGAGGTACTGATCCTTATCCGGCTGGCCCGATCCACCCCGAAGCGCGCAGCACGCCAGCCGCTGCAGATCTGGGGAGGCGCTGGGCGCCTCGGATCGGGTAATTACCCTGGATGGGTTGATCAGCGTGGGGGGTTGGCCTGTCCTGCGCGCTGCTCTAGTTACCGCTCTATGTCTGTGAGAAGAGATGTGTATACATATGTACACGTACACGTGTTCAGATGACATATGGTCTTCAAAAATGCACCACGTGTACTACACCTGCACAACATGTCACACGTGTGGATTCGCACGTCGTCTCCCCCTTCTCTGCGAGGCAGCGGGCCAAGGAGGCGCGCCGGGGGGGGGGGAGCGCATCACGTTGGAGGGGTGGCTCCGGCGTGCGCGGGGGGGCTGCCCGAGCGGGCTGCCGGGGCGGGGCGGTCGAAGTCCTCCGAGGGGCCTCCGAGCAGGCGCCGGGGGGCACCCCCGAAGAGGACAACCGAAACCCCGCCGGAGGGCCCCCTCGAAGCCCCCCCCCCTGGGCAAGGGGCGGGGGCGGCCCGCGAGGTCCTTTCCTCCCCCTCGAAGGCCCCCCCCGCTCCTCGAAGGCGCCCCAGGCCTCCCCCCTCGAAGGCCCCCCCCGCCGGGGGAGAGGAGGGGGGGGGAGCAGGGGTGGGAGGAGGGGCGGCAGGACACCCAACTTCGCGCTTCGCGGCGCCAAAGCGCGCGAGCTTGTGTCGTTTTGTGTTGTGTGTTTGTTTGTCTTTTTTGCTGTGCGTGTTTTGTCTTTTTGGTTGCCCGCCGCGCGAGGTTGCGACCGCCTTTGCGCTCTCGCGCGGCCCCATCTACGGAGGAGGGACGCTTTTCCAGGCCCAGACGGTCTCCGCCTGGTTGGGGCGCGATCGAAAAGCGTGTGAACTGCTCCTGGTCCTGGCTACAATCGAAACGCTGTCGTAAGGAACCCTCAATAAGGAACGAGCCCTCTTTTTCCCATGCGTTGAACTTCGACATCCCATAGCAACTCCCTTTAGAAAACTGGAGGGAAATCTGAGACCAATTGTAATAACAACTAAGGGACACTGAGCCCCTCCCCAACGAAAAAGGTCCCTTCCTAAGCGGCCCGATGGTATGACTCTGGACCAGCAGCAACACTGTCGCCTCTGCAGATTCCCGGGAAAGGTGCCCAGGGCGGAGGCAAGGGGGGAAGAGGGGGGTGGCACTCCCCCCGTCACAGCCCCACGCCTCCGACCCTGTCGCAATCTCCGCGGCCCCGCGGGTGACCAACTCACACCCGCCCCCACGAAATCTGGAGCGTCTTTTCCAGCAGCCCGTCGGCGCTCCGGGACCCCAAGGTGCAGTGTCCGCGCCGACGCCTGTGGCTTCGGGCCTGCCTGGGAACCTGCAAGAAGCGCCGTGCGCGCATCCGTGAACGCCGGCATTGGAGGGCCGGTGGGTCGGAATAGGCTTGCGGCAACTTTCGCGGGGATTGTAGATTGAATCGGCTTGGAGCACCTTTCGGTGGCGGGCCAGGCGGTGGAGTGAGAAGGGGCGGGCCTTCCCGAGAAGGCTCGAAGTCCCCCAGCCTTCAGAGAAGTTCTCAAAGCCGTCCCCGAAGACACCGAAAACTTTTCAGAAGGCTCTGAGAATCCCGCCGCCTTCTGAGAAGGCCTTCTCCTTCCCATTTCCCCCCCTCGCTCGCCGCCGAACTTTCTCGGGGCTCGAGGCCCCGCTCGTCGGACAGATCGGCCGCACGGGCGTCCTGGTCGAACCTCGAGCGACGGGCCAGGACTGCCCTGAGGCCCCGGCCAGCAGCAAGGTGGCCACGCCCCTCCGCTGGTGGTGCGCGTTGACCTTGAGGTGGGAGACGACGATGTGGCCCCGAGTGCCTTTGGCGTCCCTTGCCTGGCCCGGGGAGGACGAGGGATGGGACGAGGAGGAGACGGAGGACACGAGTGCCAGAGCCAATCATACATACCATATTGCGATTCGAATCAAGGTGCTCGTTTCTTGGCCGTCTGGGACACTCCCAGAATCGGTCGACGATCCGAATGTGCGAACATCACACCACAAAACAAGAGGAAATCAATGATTTTGGCATATTGGGGGCTTCTTGGGAACGCTTTTCGAGAGCCCAGGGGCCATCTCGGGCGGCTCTTCGGTCCATGTGGCGGGCTCCGGAAATCCCGAACCCAAAAACCCTTGCCATCTCTTGGGGCGCCGATTCTTACGTTTGCCAGCTTCAGTCGGCGGAGGCGGCCTGGTTTGGCTTCCGCCACCTTCCGCCGCCATCCGCCGAGGAAGAGATGGCAACTTCTGCGATCCTCAAAGGCGAGGCCCTCTCTGGAACGTCTCGCGTGGGGTCCGGGCGGACATGGCGCTGGAGCTGTCTTGCAGGCCCTCTTCAGGCATCTAAGGGGGCCCGTCGGCCGTCTCGGAGGCATCGGCAATCCGTCGGCGATGTCAGCGTCGAGGAGATCGGGCTCCGCATCGAGCCGCATCGCCGGTGCATCCGCGATGCGGCGCGATCCTCCGACCCCATCTGCGAGACCTCGACCGCAGGGCTCGGCCAGAGGCCGCCTGGCTCCAGCCGAGTCCTCCTGCTCCTGGGCGCGGGCGGTCAATCGCAGGTTTCGGCCCACGGGGCTCGGCCGGGAGCTCGCTGGTGCTTTCGACCTTCCTGCTCTGGGGCCGGTGAGTGCAGAGGCTCGATGGCGAGCGAGGGCAGGCCCAGAAGGTGGGCAGGCCCAGAAGGTGGGCCCAGGCTGTGGCTGCGCGGGCCCCCTCGGGCAGAGGCCCAGGCTGTGGGGGCCCTTGCGGGTACGGCGCCGGGGCTGTCTTGCACGCCCCCCTGGGGGGCAGCCGAGGGGGGCGCGGGGCTGTCTTGCACGCCCCCTGGGGGCAGCCGATGGGGCCCCTGCGGGTGTGGCGCCGGGGCTGTCCTGCACGCCCCCCTGGGGGCAGCCGATGGGGCCCCTGCGGGTGTGGCGCTGTGGGGTGTCCTGCACGCCCCCCTGGGGGCAGCCGAGGGGGGCACGGGAGGCCGCCTCAGGAGGCGGGCGGGGCCCCTCGGGGGGCCGCCCGGGGGGGAAGGACCCGGCCACGCGGACGGATTCTCCCTTCGCGGGTCCCCTGAGGAGGAGGAGGAGGAAGGGGAGGAGGAGGAGGAGGAGGAGGAGGAGGAGGAGGAGGAGGAGGAGGGAGGAGGAGGAGGAGGAGGAGGAGGAGGAGGAGGAGGAGGGGGAGGAGGAGGGGGGGGGAGGAGGAGGGGAGGAGGCGGAGGAGGAGGAGGAGGAGGAGGAGGAGGAGGAGGAGGAGGAGGAGGAGGAGGAGGAGGAGGAGGGGGAGGAGGAGGAGGAGGAGGAGCTCCCCATGTTTATGTTCCCCAAACAGTGCTCGGACTTGAGGCTTCTGGACTCTTGTCTAAGGAGCTGTGCCTGCGGCCGCTGTGGCTACCATGTGGCCGCCGTCGCCGCCTCGTCGCCGCCCGTCGCCTGGGCCTGCGGACCGCTGTGGCCGCCATGTGGCCGCCGTCGCCGCCCCGTTGCCTGGGCCTGCGGGCCGCTGTGGCCGCCATGTGGCCGCCGTCGCCGCCCCGTCGCCGCCCCCTTTGCATTACTTCGCATTTCTTTGCTTCGCATTGCTCCGCACGGCTTTGCTCCGCACTGCTCCGCATGGCTTTGCTTCGCATTGCTCCGCACGGCTCTGCGTCGTGCTGCTCTGCGCGGCGTTTGGACCGCCGAGTCGTCGTTTGGCCGTCGTCTTCGCCGCCGTCTTCTGGCGCCTCCGCCCCCGCGGCGGCCGCGTCGCTGGCTCCGCCCGCCGCCGCCCGGCCCGTCGCGGCGCCGGGGGCGGCCCGCGCCGCCGACGAGTCCGCCGCGCCCGAGCGGGCGCCGCGGGCGCCGCGGGCGCCGGCGCCGTCCTCGCGGTCGCCCTCGCAGATCCTGAGGAGGGCGAGGCGCGGGGCGTCCCCGCGCGGGCGGGCCTCCTCCTCCTCCTCCTCCTGCTGCTGCTGCTGCTGCTGGTCCTCCTCCTCCTCCTCCCCCTCCTCCTCCTCCTCCCCTCCTCCTCCTCCTCTCCTCCCTCCTCCATCTCGTCGTCGTCCTCGTCGTCGTCCTCGTCGTCGTGTCTCCTCAACCTCCTCCTCCTCCTCCTCCTCCTCCTCCTCCTCCTCCTCCTCCTCTTCCTCCTCCATCTCGTCGTCGTCTCGTCATCGTCCTCGTCGTCGTCGTCGTCGTCCTCCTCAACCTCCTCCTCCTCTCCCCTCCTCTTCCTCTCCTCCTCCTCCTCCTCCTCCTCCTCCTCCTCCTCCTCCTCCTCCTCCCAGCTGTGAAGCCCAGGCCGCCCAGGCCACCCAACTTCGCACCGCGCGCCCCGCGGTGTACGACGCGTGACGATCGTCGCTCCCTCGCGCCGACCCACTGGAGACGGGCAGCCGCTCCGGCCCAGGCCGCGGTTCGCGAAGCGCGATCATCTTCACACCCCCGCGCCGGCGACCGCCCGCGGGTGGTTAGGACCGCCCCAGGCGTAGATGGCATGCAATCTGGCTTGGATATATTCCCTCTGCTCTGCCAGGTTCGAACGGGCTCGAGCGAAATGGCTTCGTCGAGGCGTCGAGGCTTCTGGAGGTTTTTTGGCGGCGAGCCAGGGGGGAAGTGAGAAGGGGCGGGCCTTGTCAGAAGGCTCGGAAGTCCCCTGGCTTTCTGGGCGGTTTCCGAAGCCTTCCCCAAAGACACAGAACCCTCTCAGAAGGCGCGAGGGCTTCTGAGAAGTCCCACCGCCTTCTGAGAAGACCTTCTCCTTCCCATTTCCCCCCTCGTTCGCCATCGAGCCTCTTGACTGACCAGCCCCAGAACAAGAAGATCGAAAGCACTGGCGACCTCCTGGCCGAGCCCCGTAAGCCAAAACCTACGATTGACCGCCCATGCCCAGGAGCAGGAGGACAAGGCTGGACCCAGGCGGCCTCTGGCCGAGCCCTGTGGTAGAGGCCTCGCAGATGGGGTCGGAGGATCGCGCCGCATCGCGGATGCATCGGCGATGTGGCTCGATGCGGAGCCCGATCTCCTCGACGCTGACATCGCCGACGGATCGCCGACGGATCGCCGATGCCTCCGAGGCCCACCACAGGACCCCGTAGATGCCTCGGAGGATCGCGCCGCATCGGCCATGCATCGGAGATGCATCGGCAATGCATTACCGACGTCGGCGACGCACCAGAAACGTCGGCGTGGAGGACATCGGGCTCCACATCGAGCCGCATCGCCAATGCATCGGCGACGCGGCGCGATCCTCCGACCCTATCTCCACCGACCCAATGAGGGAGGCTCAGAGAGGAGGAGGACGAGGGGGGGGAGGCGGAGGAGGAGGAGGAGGAGGAGGAGGACGAGGAGGAGAATGAGGAGGCGGAGGAGGAGGAAGAGGAGGAGGAGGAGGAGGACGAGGAGGAGGAGGAGGAGGAGGAGGAGGACGAGGACGAGGAGGAGGAGGAGAAGGACGAGGAGGAGGAAGAGGACGAGGAGGAGGAGGAGGAGGAGGAGGAGGAGGTGGTCAGGAGGAGGCCTAGGCGGAGGCTGGCGGGCCGAGGCCTCCCCCCAGAGGGTCCTGAAGTAGACGTAGCCGACCACGCGGTGCGTCTTGTTGCGCGGCGTGCCCGTCACGCGGTCGGGGTTCGGGGGCATGTGCACGCACTTGACGGTGTAGTGCCTGACCTTTCGGGTCGGGCGAAAGGGGGGGATAGCAAAGGGGGGGGTTGAGAATCAGCTCACGTAGCTGATTTTCCCGGCGCCTGCCGGCGCCGGAGGCGGTCATGTATCGAGGAATGGGCCCCTCGGTGAGGCCGCTCCCCCCCCTTTCGCCCGACCCGAACCTTGCCCGAGCGCGGCGTCCCCGGCGTCACCTTCCGATCGCCGACAGCAGAACAAGCACACACACACACGCTTTGCTTCCCGGCGGGCTGATCCACCGTAGCGGACTCGGGGGTGGCGCACGCCTCCTAGATAGACTACGACCAGATCTTAGCAGGTGGCTGGTCAGGACGTGGCCCCGACGCGCGCACAGCAAGAGCGGGCCAGAGCCGCTGCCAAACAGCACGCGCGCGCAGCGCAGGGAGAGTCCGCCACGCGAGGCCCCCCGCGGGGGGCCAGTCTTGGCGCCACCTCCGGCGAGTGGCCTCGGCGCCGCGACGCCCCGGGGCGGCGAGTCCTCCTCCCTCCGTTGGCCAGAACCGGGCCCGCCCGCCTCTGCTGGGGGCGCGCGGGGGCGACGACCACGGCGGACGACGACAACGTTTGACGACGACGACGCTTGACGACGACGACGACGACGACGACGACGACGTTTGACGACGACGACGACGACCGCGACGACGACGACGACGACCACTTCTGCGACGACGACGACGACGACGACGGCGTCGACTGCGGCGACGTTTGACGGTGACGACGCCCCAGCCTGGCGGGTCCGGCCGTGGCGGCGAGGGCGCTCGCCGGAGGCACACCGAGCCTCGCGAGCTTCCGGCAGCTCTCGAAACGGCGACGGCCACGGCGACGGCGGCAGCCACGAGGAGGACGCCGCGGCGCGCTCCTGGGAGGGCGGCGACGACGACGACGACGACGACGACGACGACGACGACGACGACGACGACGACGACGACGACGACGGGCGACGGCGGACGGCGGACGGCGGACGGCGGCGGCGGCGGCGACGGCGACAGCGACGACGGCAGCTTCGTGGCATCGCTGGAAATCCCTCGGAGGGCAATGTACCGCAGTGGAGGCAGGAGCAGCTCTAAGCATCTCTCGGGGGCATCGGGGAAGCCCAAGAAGCACCTGGGATGAGCCAGGAAGCTCCCCAGAAGCCCTTGAGCCCTTGTGGAAAAATACCGGGAAACTTTGGATGCTCCCCGAAAGCTCTCGGGAACCCAGGGCAGCCTCCAGGAGGAAGCCGTGGGAGGACTCTTGAAGCTCATAGAGCGTCCCTCTGGGAGGCCCCGGGAGGCCCCTGTCCCTTCCATCCCCCAGAGGTTCGTTGGATCTCTCGGAGGCTTCCTGGACATCCCCCTAAGCCTCATGGAAGACCCCAGGAGGCTCGTGGAGGCCCCTGTTGGCCCCGTTGGAGGCAGCGGGCACCCTTGGGGAGCACCTGGAGGATCCTGCGATGTAGGCTGCACTGAAATAGTGCTTGCCGCCCACGCGCCCGATGGCGCATGACTTGAGTGAGTGAGTGACTTGAGTGAGTGAGTGAGTGAGTGAGTGAGTGAGTGAGTGAGTGAGTAAGTGAGTGAGTGAGTGAGTGAGTGAGTGAGTGAGTTAGGGAGTGAGTGAGTGGATGACACTGGCGCTCCCTGAATGCCTGCGAGGCTTGAAACTCCTGGAGGGCCTTCGGAAGCTGTCGGAAAGTTGCCGACCCCGAGGGACACGCTGGCGGCCCCCGAGGGCTGCTGGAGGACCCCGGAGGGCCATAAGAAGCCCGCGCGAGGCCACCAACTGCAAGGCACCTAGAAGCCCCCGCGGGATGCCTCCGAAGCCTGCCGAGATGCCGCTGGCAATCTCGAGGTGCGCTCCGAGCCTCCCACCCCCTCCAGTTGCGCCGCTGGGCACATCCCCAGGCGGGTGCCGCGCCGCGCCGCGAGCCGTCCTGGGCGGGTCGGGAAGGCGGGAGCGCCGTCCTGGGTGGGTCGGGAAGGCGGGCCCAGGCGGCTGGGGTCGAGCAGGCGGGCCGGTGAGGCGCGGGATCTGCATGACTCGCGGGGAAGCTTCAAGCGATAGGGCGATCCCCAAGACAATCGGGAGAGAGGCCTGGGCGAGAGCGTGACTCCTGAGTGTCGAGGGTGCGGCGTCTCAATCCATGGTAAGGAAATGCCACGCCAGAGCGCGATTCCTGCACACATTCTGGCAAAATGACAATTCCGCGCGACTTCGTGACGCGCGACTTCCGCGAAGTCGCGACTTCGCGGAATACATTGTAAGAAAATATTAGGCGGGAGCCATTTTTGTAGTAAACCGGGGGCCAGCGGTATCATCTGACGAATAAGCATTTCCCATGTAAATAACAGGGTGCAAGCCCCGGGAGCAGTTAAATTGACAAACGCGATAGGCACCAGGGGGATCAACAATGTTTATCTAGAAAAAAAAATTCAACAATCATTGTTAAGACTGTTCGCTTTCATATGCTCGCGTGCCGCTCAACAATGTATATCCCAAACCCTCGATACCCGCCTTCTTAGTCTTCCATCGTACCCCCTTTGTGGGTGCATCTTCCTTACCTGCCACGTGTAGTTGGCGTAGCCCCCAAAACAGGGAAAGTGAGGGAGGAGGGATGAGACGAGGGGGAGGGAGACGGATGGAGCATGAGAGAGATTTGCAGGATGGGGTTAAGAGCAAGAGTACAAGCGGCAAAACCAGACGGGCGGGTCGGGCGGACCCTAACGGGCGGGTCGAACGTGCGGGCCCAGACGGCCGGGTCGAGTGGACGGGCCGCTGAATCGTCAATCCACAATGAATCGCGAGGAAGATTGCTTCGAGCGATAGCGGGAGGCCCATGTAATTCGTGAGGAAGTTCAAAGCGAGAGCGTGATTCCTGAGTGTCGAGGGCGCGGCGTCTCAGTACACTGTAAGGAAGTACCACGTGGGACCGCGATCTCTACATACACTGTTAGGAAGTCCCGCGCGAAAGCGCGATTTTGAAACCATGATAAGGCAGTATCAGGCGGTAGCCGTTGTTTTGGTAAACTAGGGGCCAATGGCGCAATGTGATGCCCAAGACTTTCCATGCAAAAAAAAGGGTGAGATCCGCGGTATGAGAACTTGAAAAAAACAGAGGGCACCTGAGGGGGGGAAACCAACAAAAACTGCTCTTCAGAAGTGAGAATACAACAGCAACAGCAACACAACACCAACAGCAACAACAGCAACCACAACAGCAACATCACCAGCAGCAACAACAATCATTTTAAGACTGTTCGCTCTTATCTGCTCGAATGTCATTCAACGTGTATTTCCAACACCTCTCGATACCCGCCCTCTTCGTCTTCGATCGTGCCCCTTTTGGGGGGTATATCTTTCTTCCCTGCAGGCCGGGCCCCAGCACGCGGCGGGGCGGCCGCGAACCGTCGGCCTGGCCAACGGCAACGCTGATCGGCGGCAGCCCGACCCCAAGAGGGACGGACAGGGGACCGACCACGACGACGACGACGACGAGCGAAAGCGAGAGCGAGAACGACAGCGGGGCCACGAAGGGCAGGAAGGGGGCCACGAAGGGCGACAGTGGGGCCACGAAGGGCATGCGTATTGGGCCGCGAAGGGCGCGAACGAGCCGGGGCCACGAAAGGCATATACTGCGGGGCCACAGAACGCAACGACGGGGCCACTGAGGGTAGCAACGGGGCCACGTAGGACAGCGAGGAGGCCACAAAGGGCGACAGCGGGGCCACGAAGGGCATGCTTATAGCGCGACGACGGGCGCGAACGAGCGGGGGCCACGCAGGGCTTAGTTATACTGGGCCGCAGAGGGCAAGGACGGGGCCACTGACGGCAAGCATATGGGGCCACGAAGGGCAGCGAGAGGGCCATGAAGGGCGACAGCGGGGCCACGAAGCGCAAGCATATGGGGCCACGACGGGCAGCGAGGCGGCCACGAAGGGCTGCAACGGGTCCACGGAGGGCAGCGAGGGGGCCACGAAGGGCTGCAACGGGGCCACGAAGAGCAGCGAGAGGGCCACGAAGGGCTGCAACGGGGCCACGAAGGGCAGCGAGGGGGGCACGAAGGGCTGCAACGGGACCATGAAGAGCAGCGAGGGGGCCACGAAGGGCAGTGAGGATGCCACGAAGGGCTGCAACGGGTCCACGAAGGGCAGCGAGGGAGCCACGAAGGGCTGCAACGGGGCCACGAAGGGCAGCGAGACCCCCATTCCTGACTAAGCTGCGAGGGAGTCCTAAGCGTGAGCGCGACTCCTGGGTGCCTGAGTGTAGGGAGCGCGGCGCTTGAGTAAATTGCGGGGAATTCCAACGCAAGAGCGCGATTCTTGAGCAAGCGAATCTCCAGCGAGAGCGCGACTCCAGAGCGCCGGGAGAGCGATTCCTGAATAAATTGTAAGGAATCCCCACGCGAGAGCACGAACCCTGAGTAAAATGCGAGGAAGTTTCAAGCGGGAGTGGGGATCCGGGCTAAATTGTGAATAAATCTCAGGCGGGAGCCGTTGTTGTTGCTGTTGTTGTGTAAACCGGGGGCCAACAACGCAGTTTGAGCTTTGTGACTTTTCCGGATAGAAAAAAAGCCAGGGTGCGAGCACCGGAGGATCCACTTCAATTTAAAATACACAATGGTCACCGGAGGGGGGACTAATTATCATTATTCAATAAAAACAACAACAATAGTAACAACAACAACAACAACAACAACAACAACAACAACAACAACAACAACAACAACAATACTAATTTTAACACTGTTCGCTCTTACCGGCACGCGTGTCTTGCATTCGGTATACCCCAACCCTCGATACCTGCCCACTTCGTCTTCGATTATACCCCCTTTGCGGGGGGAGTATCTTCCTTGCCGGCCACTGACTGAAGGTCGAACAAGTCTCGAGCGAGAGCGCCGTTCCTGAGTTCTGGGGCCTCTCTGGCCAGGGCGTCTCGGGGTACATTGTGAGGAAGTATCGAGCGGCAGCCGCTGTTGTCGCAGCTGGGCCTCCAGGGGCCCACATTTAGGCTCAAGCCAACGCTCGAGCGGGAGCCTCGCTTTCAGAGAACATGGAGCCGGCGTCGAGGCGAGAGCGCGGGGAACCGCTTCCGGAGATCAGCAACAATTATTCTCTAGAAATGAATATTCAACAACAGCAACAGCAGCAACAACAACAACACCAACTCCACCACCAACAACAACAACAACCATTTTAAGGCTGTACGCTCTTACTTGCCCGCGAGTCATTCAACACGTATACCCTACACCCTCGATGCCCGCCCTCTTCGTCTTCGATCACACCCCTTTCGGGGGGATTATTTCTCTTTGCTGGGGCCGGCGGGCTTAGACGTACGGGCAAACCGGAACGGGCGGACAATCCTTCGGGGGCGTACATCTCTCTGCCCGCCATTGGAATTGGCGCGGGCCCTGCAAGAGGAGGAGGGGAAGAACGAGGGAGAGTGGGAGGAAGGGGAGGGGGAAGGACGAAGGAAGAGGGAAGATACCACGTTGTGAAGGCGTCCTTGGCGCGCGCGTGGTTCCTGAGCGCCGAAACGCAATTCCAGAATAATTTGTGAGGACGTCGCACGCGAGAGCGCAGTCCTGAGTACATTGTGAGGAAATCTCAGGCGGAAGCGGGGGCCCTGACTAAGTTGCGAGGAAGTCTCAAGCGGGAGCGCCGTTCCTGAGCAAATTGCACGGAAGTCTCAGGCGGGAGCGGGGGTCCTCACTAAATTGCGAGGAAGTCTCAGGCGGGAGCGCCGTTCCTGAGTCAATTGCGCGGAAATGTCAGGCAGGAGCGGGGGTCCTGAGTAAAATTCGAAGAAGTCTCAGGCGGGAGCGCCGTTCCCACGTAAATTGCACGGAAGTCTCAGGCGGGAGCGGGGGTCTTGATTACATTGCGAGGAAGTCTCAGACGGGAGCGCCTTTCCTGAGTAAATTGCGCGGAAGTCTCAGGCGGGAGCGGGGGTCCTGAGTAAAAATCGAGGAAGTCTCAGGCGGGAGCCGTTGTTGTTGTAGCCCGGGGGGCAGGGGCACAGTTTGAGCAGGAAGACTTTCCTTGAGAAAAAACAAAGTGCGAGCCCCGGGGGTGGCACTTCAATCGAAAAAAATCAATGTGCACCGGTGGGGGGGGATCAACAATAATTATTCTTCAAGAGTGAGAGTTCAACCACAACAACAACAACCACAACAACAGCATCAACAGCAACAACAACAACACCAACTCCACCACCACCAACAACAACAACCACAGCAACAACAACAACAACCACAACAACAACAACAACAACAACAGCAACAGCAGCAACAACCACAACACCAACTCCACCACCAACAACAACAACCACAACAACAACACCAACAACCACAACAACAACAACAACAACAACAACAACAACAACAACAACAACAGCAACAGCAACAGCAACAGCAACAGCAGCCACAACAACAATATTATCGACAGGTTACGGTCGGGAGCGCTTGCTTGGCGTGCCGACGCGGACGCCCCTGCGACACGCTGTGCCCTGCGCGCGGACGGGTGTCGCTCCGCTCCGCGGAGCGGAAGAGCTCGGGACGTGGAGGCCTTGGGGGCCGTGAAGCGGACGGCGCGTCGCGCCGAAGCGTGGTGGGCCAGAACCGGCGGCGCGACACGCTACCCACAAGTTCCCGACCGTCCCTCTCCTCCTCCTCCTCCTCTTCGGCCTGACCCCAATAGAGAGCGGCGCGGGTCAGCCTCCTGCACCCAGTGCAGGAGGCTGGCCCAACACCGTCCTGGGTCGAGGGAAGCGAGCTCGGACAGAGGGACGCAGCAAGCCCCTCCGCCACGGGTGCGCCGTCGCCTGCGTGATGCTGCGTATCGTGTTGCGCCGCGTCGTGGCGTCGGGGTTGAGGCCGACCTGGTTCCAGAGCTCGGCCTCTGACAGCGCGCTCCCGAGCATTTGCCGGTGGTCCTCCACGAACTCGTTCTCCAGCTCGCACAGCTGGTCGACGTCGCCCCCGCGCGCGATGGAGGTCGTGTACGCGAACCAGTTCCCGTAGCCGCCGCTCGCTGGGGTCCCCGCGGGCTCCACCCGTTGCACCGCCCAGGTCAACCGGCTCCTCCTACGAACCTGGAGGAAGAAACTACGGAATGAACGTGAACTTTCGGAGGTCCGCGCGGATTTCTCGGATCGGCTCTGGACCTCCCTCCTTGGCGCGCGGAGCGCGCCGTGGGGCAGCGCTGGAGGCGCCGCAAGCATGGGGGTCCCAAGCGCCGATTCAAGAAATACGAGCGGACCTCTCAAAATTGATTCCCCACATCCTAAGTGTGATCTTGTTCTCGCGAAACACCCACTCACAGGAACATCAGGAAGACCCCCTCACAAACAATATCACTACCATCATCATGTTCATCATCATCAGCAGCAGCAGCATCGTCATCACCGTCATCAGCATCATGATCAGCATCATCATCACCACCATCTTCATCACGTCAGCATCATCATTATCAGCATCGTCCTCATCATCGTAATCACCATCATCATCATCAGCATCATCATCATTCCCATCATCATCATCACCACCACCATCATCATCATAACCATCGCATTCACACTCATCACCATTGACCATTCGCAAACACCGCACCAGCATCACCATACTCGACATCATCATGATCAGTGTCATCATCATCATCATCATCATCATCGTCATCATTATCATCATTATCAGCAACATCATTACCATGATCGTAGCCGCCATCATCACCACCATGATCGTAACCACGATCCTCATCACCATCATCATTCTTGTCATCATGATTATCCTCACCATCTTCATCACACGATCGCCATCAACGCCTTCGTGATCATCATCATCACCGTTACCACCACACTTACACATGAACATTGATCATGTATTATTACGGCGCTAGTACCATCATACTTATCATCATCATCAGTATCATCATCTTCGTCAACACCATCACCACCGTAAGCAGCATTACCACCATGATCGTCACCACCATCATCATCACTATCATCATCATCGTCGCCATCATCACCACCACATTATGAACCTCATCAACAGCACCACCATCATCATCTTCTTCTTATCATCAGTATCATCAGCATGAACATTACCACCATCATGATGATCATCATCGTAACTATCATCACCATCACCATCATCATCATCACCATCATCGTCATCCTCACCATCACCACCATCACCATCAACATTATCAGCATCATCATTATCAGTATGAGTATTACTATTATTATTAATATAAGCAGCATCATCACTCATACACTCGCGCACTCACTCATACACACTCACACCATCACCACCGCAATCATCATCATCACCACCATCATTATCATCATCATCATCATCATCATCACCACCATCATCATCATCATCATCATCATCATTACTACCATTTTCAGGATCATCATCCTCATCGTCGTCATCATCACATCCATCTTCATCTCGCACGAACTCATGCACTCATGAGCACTCTCAATCACTCACACCCACACACTCACATAACCATCTCAAAGGTGTCTCGAGCAAGGGCCTCGCCTGTGAATGAATTGTGAGGGCGTCTCAGGCGGGAGCGTCCTCCCTATGGATCCGCCAGGTCATGTTCGTAATCCCAGCGGGTGTCCACATTCTGTAACTCTCGTCACTTTGGACTCCCGAGGCGTGGATGTGGATGAAGTCTTCAACGGGAGTTTTGTCTGTGAGTGAATTGTGAGGAAATCTCGGGCGGGAGCCCCCTCCCCATGGGGGCGCCGGATCATGTTAGTAATCCGAACGGGTCATCCACATCATGTGACTGTCGTCAATTCGGGGCTCCAGGAGCGTGGATGTGGAGGAAGTTTTGAGCGGGAGCCTCGTCTGTAAGCGAATGATGATGAAATCTCGGGCGGAAGCCCCCTCCTTGGGGGGCCGCTAGATCACGTTAGCACCCAAGCGGATCATCCAACTCCTGTAGCTCTCGTCACTTTTGGGCCCCTGAAGCGCGGGCCTCTGAAGCGCGGTTGTGGGGGATGTCTCGAACGAGAGACTTCTCTGTGAACGCATTGTGAGGGAGTCTCAGGCGGGACCCCCCCCCTTTGGGGCCGCCAAATCATGTTAGTAACCCGACCGGGCGACACAACATTTTTATTCTTCTCACTTCCACTGCAATTCGTCGCGGCCAAACATGGTTAGCGCATCCGCTGATAGGCCTTCGTCATATCACACACGCGTCACTGTTCCCGAACGACCTTGCGCCACGAAAGCCGGGTGATAATCTGGCGCAAGTTGCAGGCCGATCCGTCCAGGCTAATCCGCCACATGGCCCAGTGTTGGCTCTCGCAGTCAGACGGGACGGATGATAACCTGACATCGAACATCGGAGAAAGAAGGAGAGGAAACGGCGAAGGGAGAGAGAAAGAGAGAGAGAGAGAGACAAGGAACTGCAGTGCACGCATATCGGCCACGCGGCCGGGACACAGGGGAAACGACCCGCGAAACAGTTGGCCATTCAAATCGTGTACCTGTCGTCATCGTCAGTCTTGGGTTCTTGAAGTGTGGGTGAGTCTCGAACGGGAGCCTCCTCTCTGAGCGACTGGTAAGGAAGTTACATGCGGGACCCCTTTTTCAAATGGCCCCCCCTGATGGCCCTATTCGGCTGGGCTGCGGTATGGGCATATGTTGGGGGACGTTGGCGAAATTGATTGACACGTGCGCTCATCACGACGCATGGCGTTTGGGCGTGCCCCTCGTTTTCCTGCAGCCTCTGGACGAATGCAACACCATCCACGGCGATCCCGACGCGGGTCGGCGCACCCTGGAGATGTCTCAAACATGCACAGAACTGCGGGCATCCACGGCAGCGTCTTGCCGCTACACGTCGGCATGGAGGTTCGGTTCACGGCCGTGAATAAACATGACACCGCCATCGTGTCCTTCGGTGTTCACCCCGAGGACGGGCAGCGGTACGAGGAGTGCGGGCCCGGCAAGTTTTTCCGCCCCCGGTTTTTTTTCCACCAGGAATCTTGTTGCAGACGCACGGCTTTAAGAGGTCCCCAATCCACCAAGAGGTCGCTGAGCTGCTGCTACAGCCAGCGCCGACGGCGCTGACGACGATGGCCAGGCTGGGGCGCGGGCGCGGAGCATGCTCATGTTCAGGCCCAGCGAAAAAACTCACGTGGCAGAGCTCTGGGCCGCACGCCGTGCGCCGCTCGGGGTTCCCCCTGGCGCGCGTGTCCAACCTCACCCCCACGTTGTCGCAGGGTCAGACGCTGCGCAATGGCGTCGCCATCGACTGTGCCAGGGATGAGGACGCCGGCCGCACGGGCATGTTGGACGAGCAGTGGCGGCTGCGCCTCTACGTCATGTTCTCTCGCGCCACGCGCGTGCGGAACATGTTGATCCTGCGGCCGCCCTCGTGCGAGTTTCTGGAACGCGGGCCGCCGGCGTCCTTGCGGAATGCGTTCGGGGAGATCGATGAGAGAGCGGCGAGCTCCAGGGCCGAGGCGGAACAGCTCGCCGCAGACCTTGGCTTCGCGCTGCCTCCCGCGGGGTGTCTCAACGGCCGCGCCCTGCTCGAAGCCCGCGGGGTTGTCTCAACGGTTTGGTCACGCGTGCCAGCGGCCCGCGGGTTTGTCCCTACGGCGTGGCTCGCGAGGTTGCCCCAACGGCTTCGCGATCAGGCCAACGGATAATGCGCCCCTTCCAATCGAAGCCGCGACGTCGCCGAGGAAAATCGATGTGAGCGCCCTTTTAATTGGAATGGGGGAGGTGGCGGATGGGGGAGGAAAGGCAGGAGGGCGAGGAGGAAGCAAAGCAGGGGGCGAGAGGAGTGCCTGCGCCAGGGGAATCATGATAATGGCGCAGAGGAGACAGGAAGAGAGCCTCCGCAATCATGGGAACGACGATGAGGATTACTTCCAGACAGCCGAGAAGATTATCGTGTGGGTTCCTACCGTCGGGATAATTTCATGCCGTTTTTTCCGTCGCGAACCTCCGCGCACGTGGCCAGGAAATCGGAGATGTCGTGCTGCGGGTTCGGCCGCAGCCGGTGCGACTCCGCGACCGTGACGTTGGCGGTGTCCACTGCCAGGCACGCGTCGCCGCGGCCGCGCATGAGCTCGCTGCACACCTCGAGGCTCTCCGCCCAGAACATCGGCGTCTGCCCCCTCGCGTCTCTGAAGTTGACCTCCGCCTTGTGGTCCACCAGGCGCTTGACCATGTCGCGCGTGCTCCACCTGGCGGGCTCCCCGAACCCTGAACGGCAAAGGGCCGGCACCTCTCGGGGGGCCTACTTTTGCCCCCGCCGCCTTGCGCCGAGCGTCCGCCGCCTTTCGCCGGCGGAGGCGCCCTCGTTCTACTTCCGCCGCCGTCCGCCGAGGAAGGGATGCCAACCCCGTCGACCCTCGAAGGCGAGGCCCCTTCTGGAACGCTCCGCCTGGCCGCGTAGAAGAGCGGCGTCTGGTGGAGGTACTTGTCCACGTGGTCGACCTTCGAGGGGGAACGTCGGGGAAGGACCGGCTCGAGCGGGACACGTCGACCCTGCATCGGCTATGCATCGCCTATAATGAAGGGGCCCTGGGACACACAAATAAATAGACACGAATAACAGGATTCCCCATATTTTTCAATATTTGTCGGAGTTCCGTCTTCCCCCACTTCCCATATTTTCCCATATTTTCCTTGGGATCGACGATCAATTGTGTCTGTGTATTGTTTTCCCTCTTGACATAGATCGACGGCACGTCCTGGTAGCGACAACACACGCTCCTGGGCGGGGTGGGCTCACAGGCCTCCCGTCGGCGATCAATGGGCGATTGGGTTAAGTCGGGCGTGTCCCCCTACAGGGGGATTTTCGAAGAAAAATAAAACATACCCCCAAAAATACCCCAACATGGCCAAAACATGCTCAACAAATCGTCCCCAGACTTTTTCTTTGACTATTTTTGAAGATTCCTCCTGTAGAGGGACACGCCCGACTTCATGGTAGCGAAAACACACGCTCCTGGGCGGGGCGGGCTACCACAGGCCCCACAGATAGTCCCCCAGACTACTTTTAGACTATTTTCGAATATTCCTCCTGTAGAGGGGCACGCCCGACTTCATGGTAGCGACAACATACGCTCCTGGGCGGGGTGGGCTACCACAGGCCCCCCGTCGGCGACCAAGGGGCGACTGGGGGTCGAGGCGTCCCCCCCGCTGAGCCTACGGACCACCCGCAGAGCAAGGCTGCGCGACAAGGATGCGAGGCCCCCTGGGACGCCCACCTCGAAGCGAGTTTCGAGTGGGGCGCGGCCCACGAGAGTGCCCAAGGATGGACCCAGGAAGGCACGGATGCAAGGGCACCCTTGGGGGGGATGCCTATCCTTATTCTGAAAGGGGCCCTGGGACACACAAACAAATACAAACAAATAAACATGTTCCCCATAGTTTCCCATATTTTCTGGATTGTTGTCTCCCCCCCCACTTCCCAAAGTTTCCCATATTTTCTGGGGAATCCGCGATTAATCGTGTCTGTGTGCTCTGTTCCCGCCTGATGCTCTGCGGGTCGACTGTGTGTCCTGCTGGCCTCCCGGCTACACCTCGGGCCTTCGGCGGCCGATGGGGCAACCCTGGCACGCCATGAGGGCTCTCGGCGGGGCGCGGCCGCTGGAAGGCATCCCGAGGCTGGAAGACCACCGAGGACCGACCGAAGACGCTCGAAAACCTCGAACCTCGAGCCTGTCCCCCCCCCCCCCCAGGCGAGTACGTGGATAGATAAGCACGCATAACCTCGAAACTCGAGCCTGCTCCCCCCCCCGACAAGCACGCGGATAGATACGCATGCCAACACACTGCTGGTGCTGCCGCCGTGCCCGCTCTCTCCCGCTCCCCGTGCGGAGCGAGACGTCACTGCTGCACCCAGCTGCAGACGTTGAGGCCCGCACTCGCGATTCGAGCACCTGCTGCCATGGCCGTGGTGCGGCCCCATTTTGCAATACGTGCTGGGGAGCGTTGCATAACACTGCTGGCGTTGCCCCTGGACCTTGCACCCCCGCGCGACGAGCAGGTCCACGCAGGCCAGGTGCTTGGTCTTGGCCAGGTAGTGCAGGGCCGTCTGGCCCCGCTTGTCCTGCGCGTTCGGGTCGACCTTGTGGACGTCCAGCAGGAGCTCGCAGACCTCCCTGCAGTCCTTTCGAAGAAAAAGGCATCACCATGCACCTTCGGAGGCCCGCGCGGACTTCTTGGATCGGCGCTGGGCCCCCGCTCACTGGTGCGAAGAGCGCGCCAGAGGCGTCGCCAGGGGGGCCCAGCGCCGATCCAAGACATCCGCACGGACCTCCGAAATGTTCTGCTCGTGACGCCTCTTCTTCCCCGAAGTCCTCTCTGAGATTGACAGAACATCCTCTAGCAAAACGCCCTTTTGTGAAAGCTGCCAAGGGCATTCCACGTGCGCACGTCATCGCATACCGAGTGCACCCCAGCGGGTAGCTAATCGACGTCAAAAAAAAAATATATCCAGCCAGACGCACGTCGACTAGCGAAACCGACTGGGGACTGCATTGGCGCACTCGAATGCCAATGTCGAGTGAACCACTGCAGATTTCCCTGGTCGACTTGTCTGGGTGTAAGCTCTTTCAATGCCCAAGAGGAGGAGAAGGAGGAGGAGGAGGAGGAGGAGAAGGAGGAGGATGAGGAGGAGAAGGAGGAGGAGGAGGAAGAGAAGGAGGAGGAGCAGTCCTTATCCCTCTGGACCGCGGTGAACAGAAGAGTCTGCCCGGCGTTGCCCTGCCGCTGGTCGGAGTTGACCCACCTCCCCGCGTCGGACGGGAGGCTGGTGCGCAGGGCGTCCAGGCTGCCGTGCTGGACCAGGTGCGCCAGATCCTGCTGCCCGCGCGCCGACATGCCTCGGGAGGCCCCTTTGAAGACGAATCCAGGACGACGACAAAATCGGGTCAGGATCAATCGAGAATCTCTGAGATCCGTCGACTCTGGAGGATATCTCGAGTACCGCGGCCTTCTCAGAGCGTTCTGGAACGCTCTGAAAGCGTTCCAGAACGCTGTGGGATGGATTTATCCTCGTCCTGGTCCCGTCCGATCCTGCCCTGGTTGCGTGATAATCGACCCCTAGCCAACAAAAAGCGCGACGGCCCATGTTGGACATGGGCTGAGAACTCGTTGCCGCTATATGGTCCACTGTGAGCCACGCCTACTTCTCAGAGCGGGGGGGGGCCTGGAAAGCGGCATGCCACTCTATTACAGAACTCTTGCCGCGACTTGTGGCCGAAGCGATCGCCGCTGCGACCTCCAAAACCGACCCAGAGGCTTGGTTCGGGGCCAGATATCACGCAACGATGTCCCACCCCCATGAGATCCGGGTGTTGCAATTCTTCCACATCGAGCCTTTTTCGGCGGTGGACAAATGTCCCTTTAGTAAACCTCCCCTTAGTGAAAACGGCCTGGGACCGAAACCGACGGGCCTGGACCCGCAGAATAACGGCCGCGACGCCCTCTCGCGAACCGAACACGGCCAACTCACTATTTGTTTTGTGTTTTTTTTTCAGCGCGCGATATACGTGTTGTCTTTGTTCCCAGAGCGAGATGACACCACAGAAGAGGAAACTGACGCATCCCAAATGCAACCTCTTTGTTGCACCATACAATGCCTCTCTGTTGCGCCACACCATAGCTCTTTGTTGCACCATACCTCTGAGGGAGGAGGAGGGTGGAGGAGGAGGAGGAGGAGGAGGCCGCAACGCCCTCTCGCGAACCGAACACGGCCAATTCACTAATCGACGTGTCAGGGTAGGAGGTCTGTCCACCTCCGACTGTTCGCCCGGTTTCTCAGGCCCTGGGGCCATCACGGGTCGATGCGGCCCAGCAGAGGCTGCAGTCCGAGGGGGTCGAGGGCTCCAGAGGAGGAGGAGGAGGAGGAGGAGGAGGAGGAGGAGGAGGAGGAGGAGGAGGAGGAGGAGGAGGAGAGAGGAGGAGGAGGAGGAGGAGGAGGAGAGGAGGGGGCGGGGGAGGAGGAGGAGGAGGAGGAGGAGGAGGAGGAGGAGGAGGAGGAGGAGGAGGAGGAGGAGGAGGAGGAGGAGGAGGAGGAGGAGGAGTCGTGGTCTCTGTGAGGTCGCACTCTCGTCGCCACGTCGGACCTCGGGGCCCCTCCTCGCTGGGCCCCCCTGCTCCTGGCAGCCACCCTCCTCCCGCAGGCTGGGTAGTCGAAGCCAATCTGGCGCCAATCCGGCAGGCCCAGTCTGGCAAGCGGGGCCAATCTGGCGAGGGAGCCAACGCGAATCCAGTCTGGCGAATCACCCAAATCGTCCAGCTTGGCCAGGCCAGATTGGCCCTTGGGGCCCAATCCAACCTGACAGTCTGGCCTTCGACTACCCAGGCAGGTGGGCAAAAGAGTGGAACTCTTGACACCACGCCCTCCCCTCCCCCCAAGTCCAAAGTTGGCCTCAAGCATCTGGCAGCACAGGCGTGAGGGGGACAAAACAAGTGGTACCCCCAGGGCCTCCGAGAGGCCGAATCCAACTTTGATTTTTTGGGGGTGGGGGCGGATGCGGGGCCGAAGACGAAGGGGTTCCGCTCGTTTGTCCCCTTACCGTCACACCTCACCTCTCCCCGCTCGTGCCTAGTAAGGCGCAGTCTCATCCGAGGCAGCTACCCAGCGGTTACATATGGCTCGCTCGCTGCACGGGGATCGCAGTGGATGGGCGCGTCTGGGGCAGCAAGAGCCATGGTGCTTCGCAGCACTGTCTCGAGGCAAGCGGGTACGGGAGGGGGGCGGGGGTGGACAGGGAGGGGGGGGAGGAGCGATATAAAGATACTGAGAGCGTCTGGTGACGAGGAGGAACAGCAGGACGGAGAAGAGGAGAAGAAGAGGAAGGGGGAGTGCCCGAGTGATAAGGGTAGATGGTGAAGGGGAGATGGACGTGGACAGGGACACGGAGAGGGATGGGAGGTGCTCGAGTTTTTGATCCCCGAATAGGCTTTGTCTTCGGGGTTCTTACTTGCTTGTGGGATAATCGGTGAATGCCGGACGCGGTCGTCGCCGGGGTCCCCGGGGTTCATTGGTCGCGTTTCCTTTTGCGAACGGGATTGCGAAGGGCTCGTGGGCCATGCTTCCTTACGGTGGCGTTCCCTTGGTTCCTTGCTCGGTCTTGGCTCCTTGGTGCATTGGGCTTGGTTCCTTGGCCTTAGTTCCTTGGCCCTGGCTTCCTTGGTCTTGGTTCCTTGGTTCATTGATGTTGGTTCCTTGCTGCTTCGCCACGCAATGCCAACCAATGTGAAGCAATGCCGCGCATATGCCAAGCAATGCGAAGCAAGATGCCAAGCAATATGCCAAGCAATGCGCCCAAGCAGCAGGAACGATTCTCCCAATTGGGGTCGCGCGGGGCTCTCATTCGTCTCCCTCTCATTCAGCACAGCGAACGCGCGACGTGGGCGCACCCGCCGTGGCCACGTGAGGGGCCCCTCGCACATGGCGTGTGCAGACAGGCAAAAGGCAGCGATCGATGCGAACCCGCCCCGACCGCGCGTCGGCGCCGCGGGGGGGGGCCGCCAAGAGAGCGACTGCTGCTCATCGACTTCGAGGCTACTGATCCACAGTGAACAACAAAGAGGTGATATATAAGGTGCCGCAACGCCTGTCACTGGCGCGCTAGCCGCCCATCCACCTGCATTCGGTTATGCACGCGGGTGTTGGCTCAGCCAGCGTGGGCTGCGGAAAGGAAGGCGCTTCGGGGTGCCCGACGTCATGCTTTCAAGCGGAGAGCGACGAGGCGGAGGACGCGGCGTTCCAGGCAGAGGCGCGGGAACGGTGCCTCGCGCAGCCGCCCTGGCCGCGGACCGCAGGCGGCGGGCGGCACCTCCGAGGGCCCCGCCCTGCAGGAAGCCGAGGAGCGAGGCAACCTCCAGCAACGCGGAAGCCGCGGAGAGCGATGTTTTACCGTCAGCGTTAAGTCGGGCCTATCCCTCTACAGGAGGATGACTCAAACATAATGAGAAAATAAGACGGGGACGATTTGTTGACTATTTTGACCGATGTTTGACTATTTGAAATTCCTCGTCCAAACTCCCCCCTGTAGGGGGACACGCCCGACCGAATATCAGCGATGACAAGCAGCCCGCCAGTCACGCGCGGGGGTCAACGAGAGCCGCTTTGGACGCCCAGGGCCACCCCGCGGTGCCCCGCCGCGCAGGCGGAGGGCGAGCCCGACCGAGCGAACGAGGAATACCCGCCGCGGCAGTCGGGGCACTGAGGAGAGCGACGAGGCGGAGGAACGGAGTTCGAGGCAGAGGCGCGGGAACCAGTGCCTCGCGCAGCCGGCCTGGCCGCGGACCGCAGGCGGCACTCCCGAGGGCCCCGACAGGCCCCGCAGGAAGCCGAGGAGCCAGACAGCCTACTGCAGCGCCCTCCGCCTCTGCTCCTCCTCCTCCTCCTCCTCCACCTCCTCCTCCTCTGTTTCCTTGTCCTCCTCCTTCTCCTCCTCCTCCTCCTCCTCCTCCTCCTCCGCCTCCTCTTCCTCCTCTGTGCTTCGCCGGGAGCGAGAGGACCCGGTAGGCGACCGCGAGCAACGGCCGGCGGCCAGTCCAGCGCTGGCGCAGCTAGGCCGCCGCAGCCGCCCGCAGCTCGGCCGCCCGGCCAGCGCTGGCGCGGTCCGCGCCCAGCGCCGTCCTGAGCTGGCGGGCGGCGGCCTGGTGAAAGGCCACGCTGCACTCACGGCCCCACAGGGCCATCAGGGCGCCGGCGGCTGTAGGGGCGGCCGCCTCGCCGAGCAGGGCCGCCTCGCCCCGCGCGAGCTCGCGGAGGTGCCGCAGGGAAGCCTGCCCGTGCCCGCCGCCCCTCTCGAGCGTCCGCGGCACCATGCCCCACGGGGCGCGGCCGGCGGGGTAGCGCCGCCGCTTGACGGCCTCCGCCTCGGCGTTGACCGCGCCGTCTCGCCCGGCCGCGGCTGCCAGAGCTGCAGCGTCACCGGGCACGCAGTAGCGCACCTCCACCTCCTCCTCCTCCTCCTCCTCCTCCTCCTCCTCCTCCTCCTCCTCCTCGTCCTCCTCGTCCTCCTCGTCCTCCTCGTCCTCGTCCTCCTCCTCCTCGTCCTCGTCCGCCTCCTCCTCCTCCTCCTCCTCCTCCTCCTCCTCCTCCCTCCTCCTCCTCCTCCTCCTCCTCTCCCTCACCTCCACCCCGACCTCCATCTCCATCTCAACCCCTCCCTCTCGTCGTCGTCGTCCTCCTCCTCCTGGAGATGCTCGGGGCGACGCCCCAGCCCAGGGCACGCCGGGCCTTCCGGACGGACCGCGGTCCCTGATATCCGACGGCGCGAACAAGTGGAGAGAACGTAAAAGAACCCGACTGGAGCCCCCGACCCCATCCCGCGCCATTCTGAAGGGGCCCTGGGACACACAAATAAATAGACACTAATAAAAAGATCCCTGATAGTTTCCCATATTTTCTAGGTTTTTGTCTTCCCCCCACTTCCCGTATTTTCGTATATTTCCATAGGAGTCGACGATGAATTCCGTCTGTGTGTTTGTTCCCTCCTGACGTTCTCCGAGCCGGATCGATCTGCGAAGGCCCTGGGGCCCGAGACCCGGCGAGAATGCCCGGCTCGAGCAGGATCGAGGCGCCGGGATCCCCGACCTCAGGGGCCTCGGGGCTCAGGGCCTGCTCGACGCTGCGGGGCCTTCCAGGCGGGCCGCGGTGCGCGCCGCAGCTCGGCCGAGCGACGAGCGGCGCGGCCCAGCAGTGCGCCGAGGACGGCGGCCTGGGAGGCGGCAGGCGCAGCAGCAGCCCCGCCACGGAGGGGCGGCACGGTGGCCACGCCGGAGAGCACCCCGAGCACACGCTCGTGCGGCAAGGTGTGGGGAGGCAGAGTGGCGAGCGTGACCCTTCCTGTTCCCTACTATCTAGTGTTTCGTTTCTCTCGTCTTTTGTCATATATATATATGATACATATATATATATAGATTCGTTGATTTGTGTTTCTCTCTCTCTCTCTCTATGTATATGGCCACTTTCTACCCTCTACACTCCACTAAATCTAATTATTTACATGTGATCCCTACCTTCCACATTCGCACCGCTCTCTACTCTGCACTCTCCGTCCTCTCATTTCTAGCCTCTCGTACCGCCTCCCCGCTCTCTGCCCTCTACTCTCTGTTCTTTGCCCCATCCCTTTTGTTCGCTATACCTTCGGCTCTCTCCGCTGCACTGCTGTCCGCTATCTTGTCTCTGCAATAAAACCCCCACTGCCTGATCCCTCATGCGTCTTCGATGCGTTTTACCTTTTACGCTTCACTTTACTCTATTGTATCTGCTCTTTGCTCACTGCTTTCGGTTCTCTGCTCTCTACTCCCCGCCCCTTATTCTCCACCCTGTACTCTCCACTTCAATCCACGACTAAGCTGCGAGGAGGCGTGGAGTGGAGTGTCTTCAGATCCCTTCGAACTCCCTCCGCGGATGATGATGATGCTGATGATGATGGTGATGATGATGACGACGATGATGATGGTGGTGGTAATGCTGATGGTGGTGGTGGTGGTAATGATGATGGTGGCGGGGAGATGGTGATAATGATGATGATGAAGATGATGATGATGATGATGATGCTGATGATGATGATGATGATGATGCCGATGATGATGATTATGCTACTGCTGGTGACGAGGATGATGGCGATGATGATGATGCTGATGCTGATGATGCTGATGGCGATAATCATGATGACGACGACGACGACGACGATGATGATGATGATGATGACGATTACGAATACGATGACGATGATGGTGCTGCTGCTGCTGATGGCGATGCTTATACAGATGAGGCTGATGATGGTGATGATGATTATGCTGCTGCTGATGATGATTATGCTGCTGCTGCAAATAACAGTGGTGATGTTGCCGATGATGATGATGATGATGATGATGATGATGATGATGATGATGATGATGATGATGATGATGATGATGATGATGATGTAGGTGCTGCTGCTGATGCTGATGGCCATGATGAAATGCGGATGGCCATGATGAAAAGGATGATGATGATGCTGCTGATGCTGATGATGGCGATGATCGTGATGACGAGGATATGATGACGATGACGATGAAGACGACGATGACGACGATGATGCTGATGCTGATGACGATGCTGATAAGCATCATGATGACTATGCTGATGATTATGTTACTGCTGGTGACGAGGATAATGGCGATGATGATGATGATGCTGATGCTGATCATGCTAAACGATAATCATGATGACGACGATGATGATGATGATGACGATTACGACTACGATGACGATGATGATGCTGCTGCTGATGATGATGCTTATACAGATGAGGCTGATGATGGTGATGATGATTATGCTGCTAATGATGATGATGATCATGCTGCTGCTGATAACAGTGGTGATGTTGCTGATGATGATGATGATGATGATGATGATGATGATGATGATGATGATGTAGATGCTGCTGCTGATGCTGATGGCCATGATGAAATGCGGATGGCCATGATGAAAAGGATGATGATGATGCTGAAGCTGATGATGGCGATCATCGTGATGACGAAGATGATGACCATGACGATGACGACGACGATGACGACGATGATGCTGATGCTGATGATGATGCTGATAATCATGATGATGACGATGATGCTGATGATGATGACGAGGATGATGATTATGATGATGATGATGCTGATGCTGATGTTGATGTTGATGGTGAAGGATGATGGCTCGGAATCCGAACTTCCAGGATGCCCTGAGATGGCCCCGAGGGGCCGTGCTGGAGCCCTCCATCCTGGGGCTTCTGAGCCTCTTGGCGAAGTCTGGTAAACGC